ACTCTGATGTTAATGTCATGGAGCATGGGTTAATTCTTGGTATTTCCTAAATTGTACAATGAAAGCCTATACTTAATATATATTTTTTTCAGTTCCCAAAGTTCTACTGGACTCGGTTTTACTGTAATTGTTAAGAATTCTGTTTTCAAACGAGATTTCATATATATAAGCATGAATCAATTGACATGAGATGTGCCCTGCACTAGTGGCATTAGTCCATCAGGCTGGCAGACAGTTGGCATTAGTCCATTAGGCTGGTAAAACAAATTTGCTCTCAACCAGCTGAAATTAGAGTACACTCCTGATAATAAAATTAAAGTTTGTTTTTTTTCTGGTTACATACAAACAATCAAAAACTTTTATGCCTCTCAAGAATACATAGTAGCACAAAATAAACACTTGAATTTCCAGCATTCCACAAACCAGCTCATTCATACAAACAAATGTATCAACTAGTTATTCCTTAGAGAATATCAACATGAGAGCAATTTAGAAATAATTTAATGCTCTCTAAACTCTTGTGGTTCTCAGCACCCACCTTAAATGGTTGTCACTAATATCAGTGTCATCTGTTTTACTTCCATGTGAAAACCATGCTGAGATAACATGTACTAATATCTTAACAAAAATACTTTTGACTAAGCCATGTATCTGACTAGCACAGAATTTTGTTGCTCAAGATTATTATAAACATTTCATAACACGGACTCCAAACTCAACTAAAATGCAAATTAAAATGTTTTTCACCCATCCTGGAAATAGTTTTCCCCACTTAAACGAAGAACTGGAGAGTCTACAAAATATACACTTACCCCAACATCTGCAGAGTCATCTCTGATTTCTGAATCCACGTATCTTGGAAACATTTCTTCTCATTTTTACAACTTTAATGTGTAAACTAGTAATAGGTAAAGAACTCTAACAGAAACAAGTAGATTCCCAGAAACTACAGCAGAAAACTGAGTAGCAGTTAAATTGGGCCACAATATAAATAAATGCACAGCTAGTAGGCAAACACTGACATGAATTCAGACACACAAAATTGTGGAGAAAATACTGAATAAAGGTATTTTTCAAAGATGCAACTTAGGATTCCTCATATTAATGCAGGGCAACAGCACACCAAATATAGTTCAAATAAACTACTTGCACCTGAAACAGTAAAAAGTTTCCAGCCAGATGATTGCAATTGGCTAAGAAATATTACCTTTTGTGTCATGTGGTATTAAGTACAGCTTTACTAGAAATGTCTTTTAATATACTGTCCTTAGAGTCAAAAGATAGTACTTAAATGTGCCATTTATGAGATTATCTAAAATATATTTACCACTGTTTCCACCAAAAAAAGTTAAAGCAATTACAGCTACTGAAAAGGGCTCCTCATCTGGAAATATTGATTCTGAAAGCCTTCAGCAACACCTCTACAGGTGCTGCAGATGTTTTATATCACGTTATAGAGATGATAAACACACATACAAAGCCCAGAAGAAAAGTGCACACATCAGAAAGCATGCTGCACCTCAGAAGATGACCTCACAAAATACTTTGTGTAACTTGTACTCCTTCATTGTTAACTTGTCACCCTCCTTATCCATGTCTTTTCCTCATACAATAGAAGTTAATACTAAGCAGAATACAGAAACTAATACTGCTGAAGCAACTGAATGAATTGTAATACCAAGGGAAAGAAAGATGATGAATAAAAATTACATAAGATAGTCTAAACAAACTAAAAATGGGGCAAGTAAACTGTTAAGAACTTCTAGCAAATGAAGATCAGAAGAAACTGTTTTCAGAACAAAGACAAGCAGAATCTGATGGGAAAAAAAAGAAAGCCATTCAAGATGTTAGGGTGCCATTTCCTGCTATAAACTTACTATTGAATTAGCTTCAGTGGCAGGGAATACCAAAAGATAAAGGATCCAACTACAAGCAAAGCCTCAAAATCCCTTTACTACAGCAGGAATGCATAGATTTTTAGTTATATTTTTCAAATGTTCTTATCAGCTTTCTGCAAAATACAGTAATATTAAAAAAAATATTTCTTGCAATGAGGTTAAACTTCATACTTTGCCACTTTGAGATAATCAATGGAAAATAAATGGAAAATCTGCAAAGTGCCCTTGAAGAAATGCTTTAAAATTCACCACTTTTCTTAAAAAACAAAAACCCCTTTACACCACACAAAACATTGTTTTACAATGATTAAGAAAGGACAGGAAGAACATTATGAAAAGCTATGCTGTCTTCATAACAGAGTCAGTGGTAACAGTCCTGAAAGGATAACAGGCAACATCCCAACAACTGTCAGATTAACTAGGGAGATATGGGAGCATGATCCTCTTCCCACAAATGAACACAAGTCAGCAAAAAAATCAAACCTCTTTTCCAATGACATAATGAAGAAAAGCAGTCAGGAAAGCCACAAGTTTCAGGTTTGACTTACAGTCTGATTATGCCTGCATGATTAGAAGTTGAAATGCTAAGTACAAAGTACTACAAATAATCTATCAAGATCATAAGAAACATTCATAAGGTCTTAGAATTCACATTTCCCAGTATCCAGTATATATAAACTAATAGAAGTATTCCCACCTAATATGTGCATAAAGGTCTGCAGAAGCTCTCCTTTCAGAATTAAAACTCAAGGTTGAAACTTGAGTTTGGAGCACTGATATTTCATGGTTACCTCATTATTGTAAAAAGCATGAATCCTGGCCAGTCAGCACGACCACCTTAAGACAATTACATGTCTTCTCAAAAATTGCAAGGGATTTTCTACAAATGATGTCAAAATGTATTCATTACACAGCCCACAATTACAGCCTTGAAGTATAAAGCAGACAGAACATGGAAAAACATTTCATCTAAGAATCACTAAGCTTAAATATCACTGGCATCTCATCTTTAAGACTACTTTAACTCTTTTAAGAAAATTATTTCAGTTCGACTATTGAGATTTCAGCGAAACTGAACAACAACCCTGCAGAACTAAAATAACTGGAAGTCACTGGGGCTCAGATATCCAAGCAGGAAGAGCAGGTAACACACTCTGCCTAACCCCGGCTTTGTGTGCACCTACTACAGTTTAATATACAGAGCCAGCCCCTGGTTTTACATAACTCCAACTCCAATCCACTAAGTGGATGTTTCTTCCAGTAAAAACTTCTTGTTGCACTCAACTGCTCCTACCTCACTGCTTCTCTCTCAGAATGCACAAGATTAAGCTGGAACTTGGGGAAATCCACTCAGATCTCTCAAGTGCTAGGCTAGCACAGGAGGAACTGCAACGCTGTTCCTGCAAAGATGATAATTATTCTCTCTAGCATCAATACCAAAATGAACACATTTCTTAAAAAGCTACTTTGGAAAGAAGTTACCCTTGTTATTACAGAGAGGTCTTAATATTAACAGGGTCTCAAACTTGGGGAGATAAGTTAAAAGATCTAGTTTATGTGATTGCGAAACATCAGCAGAAATAACATCAAAGACCTCACAGCTTTTACAAAACAAAGAGGCAATCAAGATAAACCAAAACAAATAACCCACAACCCTGTCTCCTCAATCTCGACCTGAACACTTAATCAGACCACCACACCTCTTGCTGCAGAGGTAAATATTTGAGTATCAGGCAGAGCCAGGAGACTTCACAAAACTGCTCAGCTTGCCTCACACGGTGACATTTCTAGTTAAGTTTCATGGAACTGTACAGTGTACATTCCCCTCACATTACTACAATGTAGAAAAATCCCAAACATTTGGATTCTCCTGATAACTTGCTACTTATTTTAAGAAATTAATTTTTCCTCTTTAAACATGCCATCTTCTTAAGACACGAAACCTAACCAGATATTCCAGTCTGGTTTTTAACATTTTATTACAACATGCTGGAGAACTTTTTGAGACAAGTTCATCCTTTTCTTTCCTTCCTCCAAACAAATTTGTAATACCTTGACCATATTGCACAGATCTTGAATGTCATCATCTGTTGTTTAACCAATTTCCCAGATAATAAAAACATTTACTGAGATAAAGCTTTTCATTAAATAAATTATAAATACTCTGAAAATAAAATTGTCTCCATTCATAAATCCAAGTACATATCCTTGTTCTTCTAGGTCACAGTTCACAGCAGTCAAACTCATAAGGCTGAAAAAAGTTTCATTAAATTAAAGAAAATAACATCAGTAATTGTTGCTGATTTAAATAATACTGTGCATTAACTACAAGCTACAGGTAGAGCTAGTTTGCAAATATTCCCTTTCTCAAAAACAAAACAAGGCTTGGAAAATTTCCTGATAATATAAGATTTAGTCTCACATACATTAATGAGTTTCACAGATCCTGTGAGATCTTTGCTCATAAAATGAACAAGCATTGGTATAATTAAACATGAATAAGTACCTGCATTATTAGGGTCCAAATAAGGTAGGTATTAGGGGCATGAGAGAACCCACATTTGACTCTAGAGAACAGAACTGTTTTATCAGTCATCCTTAGTGGACCTTCAAACAGTTTTCATTTTACTAATCACAAATTTGAAGTTGTTTTCATGGAAAAAATAAGATAAAACATTTCATTTAAAAGCATACAATGCACATCATATCTTTGCAGCTACTCCACTTTACTGGTTTATGCCTTTTATACTAAAGTCTCAAACTTTAACCTTTCTTTCACCTGATTATTTTACTTCTTTCCTGAATCTCAAATCTATGTCCATTCTAAAACTCACTTGTTAACAATTTCTCCTTTTTTCTTTTTTTTTTTTTTTAAATCAGTCTCTTTCTAGTCATTCCAATATCTGCGATCTTTAGGCAGATAATTCTCTACCCATCTCATTTGTCAACCACACCACATCCTGTTCTCTGGAACTGAAAGATGATCCTCTCACCCACATGTTTTTCACCCAGCACTATCTGGGTGCATTATCTCTATCACATCAAACATTAGCTTCTTAACCTCACTTTCAAGGCCATTGCTGGCTGATTCCCGCTTATTACCTCATCATACCAAGGGATTATTGTTTGCTTCGCTTGAGACACCAACACTCCCTTGTACTTTTCAACAAGTATTTCCTGCATCCTCTGCGGCTGTTTGGGTGCTCATCCCCTGCAAACATGTCAAAGGTCCCCCCACCGCCACCCTTGGCTGGCAAGGCTCACCCAAAGGAGCAGCCAGAGGCTGCAGCTGGGAGCACTGCTCCCCGTGCTGAACAACCCTGGGGTTTGCACAGCTCTCATTTGGCACCACCACTACGTGACCCAGCCCCTGCTGGAACTCAGAGTTAACTGGACTGAGGATGCTATTTATACTGAGTTTGTGCAGAATGCTGCATAACACAAGGACACAATGTGACTGAAGTACTAGGTCCTACGTAAATACAAACATAAAATACACTCCCATGATTACAAACGTCAAATACCCTAAATATTTCTCTAATTGTGACTGGCATCACATAAATACGAGGGGAAAATGCAGGACAATCAGATGCCATAACAGCTGAAGAACACTTTATCCATTAATCGTAAGGATTAAAAAGTGTTGGATATTATAAATATTACAATTGCCTCCTCCACAGTATTGCCCTGCTGTAGAGACAGCCAACTGCACTGGAGCACAGGTATTGTCTGGGGTTCACACACATCAATTATTTTCCCACTCACTGCCACAAAAAACCCCCATGCCACCTAGACCAAATGCTTATTTGAAGATATTATTAGAAAAATAAAATATTATTGAACTCCTCTAAAAGAAATGAGGCATCTGGGGTAAAGACAAAGCATACAAGAAGCATACCCCTACTCAAAGAAACCACCCTCCAATTATTCTACCAACCAAAACATGCAAAGGTTTGGGAGGTTTTCACACCCACTTGAATTGGGCATCCATCATAAGACAGAATCCAGCAATCAAATGCTCTCTTTACAAAGGATTTACAATGCAGATGGAGATGCAAAAGCCACACCCATCTCCACCACCTGCACTCACATCTGGTTACCTCAAGTATGCCAAAAGTTAAGGCTGCCTCAACTCTCCAGTGCAACTGCCGTCGTATTTCAGAAGTTCTTTAGGACTTTAACTCCAAACTCAAATCTAGTGGATGTAACTTCATTGTACAACACCAAAAAAGTATCTTTTACTTAATATGGAACTACAAAAAAGTATGTTGTGCTATTTCTTGTGTGCCAGCCAGAGAGAAGTAATTTGCACGGTACTTACCTCTGGAACAAACATTTGTGAGTATCCAAATCACAGCAACCATACCAGCTAGTAAATTAACTCTACTCCCTCCAAAACCAGGATCAAAGTGCACAGGTTACTTTCAACATTTTAAGACACGTATTATCCATACACATATGTGCCCTTAGACATAAAGAATGTTAAAGTATTCTACAAATATTACTACTATATTAATTTGATTAAAACAAACTAAGTATAATCCAATTTTACAACCCAACTAACAGGGATAAAAAGAAGCTTATTTGCACAAGATGACACAAGAGTTCCACATTAAAGCCCAAGAAAAATTCAGATCCTGCAATATTAGCTTTTTAGCTCACAGTAAGACTGCATTTCTCCTTCAAAAGATGTAAACAGTAATAAAACTCCAGGGAAAGGTACAAAGCATGATGCCAGAAAACAGTTTAATCAGTCCAATGCCCTGTTCATTGCAAATGACAAAGCAGAGTTCTGACTTTAACAAAAAAAAATCAATAAATCAATGAAAAGGGATTAACGAATCTTATGCGTAACTATTTCAAATTTCCACACAGTAGAAATTTTCAGAACATTCAGTACACCTACAATTCAGCCCTTTCCTGTTCTAGTCACCTAGCACAAAATGTAATACTCCTTCCACTCTCCTCTTAGACTAGAGCTTGCAGCTGGAAAAAACCCCAGCAACACAGAAACTTATTGCAGATAATTCCATAAACAAAGTCAGTGCAGAGGGTCTGCATTTTAATGAAAACCAGAAGGCTTTTATTAGTATAATACTTTTTTTCCCTTCTTTTCCCATCCAGCTGAAGCACTGACACACATCTGAAGACAAACCTCTAAACCTTCTGCCAAGAGAGCACTGGGACTGGGGTACGTAAACTCACTAGGGGCAAAATGAAACAATCTGACTGGAATTTCAGCTTTCACTGAACAGTTTGTTCACCATTACAAGGAAAAAGCTGAACATATCTGCACTTCAGGGAATTCTCTTCTCTAACAAAAAGAACTCAAGTTCTTTAAAAAGTATGCACATGTGTTGTATGAACAATGAAAATTAAATCTGAATTGTGTTAAATAACTTCCCCTCCACAAAAAAATAAAATACCCTATGTTACTCAATTACTAGCTTTACCAAGAACACTAAAAAGTGCTCTGCAAATGTATGGACTGAAGTATTTAAAGATACTATATTAACAAATGAGGGTCCCACCCAGATCAAGCCAGTGTACGAACTAACTTAAATACAACACTAATTAGCTTGTAGATATCAGACCTACATAGAGCATCAGTGACTACTCTACACAAGCAATAACAACAAACCTTCTGTCTTCCAGCATTTACCTGCAAACAGCTGAAAGCACCAGTTGTACCTACTTGGACAACCCTCAGCTCATGAGCACATTGCCAACAGACTTTTATCTTCCCATGCCTTTTTCCATCCCAAATTCTGAGGGATTTGTGATTCCAGAGATCATTATTTTGACAGATACACATTTTTAAAAAATCCTCAGCTTGGCTGAGATAAAGATCCTGCAATCTCCAACAACCTTTTTACTATTCTCACTCAGGAAATCATATGAGAGCTGCAGCATTTAAAATCTTGACACAGGCAACTCTCGGATTTTGCACTACCAACAAGGATACTGCATACATCTTTTACAAGACAGCAATATTATTCCAGTGTTCAGAATTTCCAGATTAGTTAAGTCCCATGTATGTTTGTACAAGCTTCACTGAAAAGCATATACACTTCCAAGTACGTAAACAAATGGGCCCATAAATAAAAACATATGCCTTTTAAAAGATATCAAACTATAAAGCTTTCAAAACTCAAAAAACCCCACTTTCTAAATAGACAGTCAAAGACACATGTATGCATTCTTAAGTTATGTTCAACATCAAACCCAAACTGATAGAGTCTCATGACAATGACACACCCCTTCCTGGAAAAAACAGTAAAAAGGTCAGATGTTTATGAAGCAGACAATTGCTGGAAAAATATGGACAAACATTTCCAACTAAAACTCAGTGCAATTGTTGTCACACCAAAGCCAAAAGTAACTACATTTTCAATTACCAAGTATTTAATCCTTACATAACTTTCTAGTTGGAAATCTCAGGTTTTCCCAAGGCGGAGGTAAGCTACACAACACTGTTTGTGAAAGACAGGAACCTCACAGTGATCAGGCATTTTATCCAGCATGTCACCCAAGACAGGGGAGATGTGTAACCATGCCATGCATCTGGAAAACACTGTCATCTTATACTTCAGCCACAAGACACATTCCTTGCACATATTTGCGACCACAACAGCAAGAGCACCCATGGAAGAGACAATCTATACAGAGTACTGTTTGCAATCTTATGTCGACAGAGAAATCTGGGGACAAAAAAAAAAAAAAAAAATCCATGTTCCATCTCACAAATGTCCCCCTGTTAAACAAAGTATTGTCTTTAACAGAGTATATGTTAGCACACTGGAAAGTAAGTTTACAAAATATTAAGATTCAAAAGCACATAAGAACTTCCATATGGAATATGGCTTGATATTTAGAATTATTTACAGTGGTTTTTTTATGTGTATTAACAATGTTAGTAACTATATAACCACATCCACATTAACACTCAAGAAGGTTTCTCAGTTTCAAGAGAAAAACCTTTTTTTGCTTCGAAAAAAACCTTCTATTCAGCTAAAAATAAATTTTTTAATCTAGTGAACAAAAATACAATAAATTACTACAACAGAAGTATGCTACATAATAGCTACTTTTTGAAGCTAACTCTTTCACATTTACGTTCTGTGGATGTTTTTCATATATAATTACACTTGCCAACTTTTAAGATTAGACAACATCACCACATGATTTATCTTCTACAAAAAAAGACTAAGATTTTAAAGCAAGAAGGAATCAATGTCTGAAAGCAGGACTGACTGAAAGCGTAAGAAAATTTTTAACAGCTTTTGAAAAATTACTGATGCAACCAAGTTAATATTTTTAAAACTAGAACTTGGGCTTATGCACAGAATGAATTTTGTTTAAGGAAAGATTAAAAAGAGCACATCACCAAATATACTTTGATCTTTCTTTGGTCCAACATAACTAATTTCTAAAATACTACTCTACAGTGCCAGTGGTTTCTTAATTATAAAAGATGGCGTGCTTCTGGCCCCAAGGAGCTCACAACAATAGTATCATTAAATCTTCTATAGCCATTTCTTTTTAATCATGAAATCTCAGCACAAAAAGCCCTCAGCAAAATTTCTGCTTTAAATATTTATCAAGAGGTGAGAAACAGATGGCTAGACTGGTTCTACAGACTGAAAATGTTCTGACATGGTATTCAAACTTTTTCTGCCAACTGCTATTAAGGAGTTCACAGGGGTTGGAACAACAGAACGTGCATATGAAGTTAAAAAACATCCTTCCTGGCTGTTTGTTTTTTTTTTTTAAAGAAACAGTACAAACTCTTTAATTACTATCAAAGAAGCCACTTCAGAGTGTCAATCACACTGTCTCCTCTCATTACACCAAGAACTTCATTATCAGCTACACTCCAGTCTCCAAAGCTTAGTTAGCCTTTAGCATCAAAGCAAATATTCAATTTAACAGCAAAACATATTCAATTTAACAGCAAAATAACCCAAGATGGCAATAACCAGATGTATTTTCTAAATATTCTATGCTAATGCTATTTGTACACTTCACGCCCACCACAAAAAGAACTCCAGATGTACAGAAACATACACACTGAACAGATGCTCATGCTGAGAAGATTCTTAAACATATCATAATCTATCATTTTTATTTCCAAATATTTAAAGTTACCAAACCCCACCCCAATTTTAGTCCCATCTATCTATTCTTGCCTTGGATAT